GTGTCCGCAGCAATTTGTCCGTAACTTTCAACTCGGGAACCACAAAAGCTAGGAAGCTGAAAATTTAGAAGAACGTTCTCCACCCACGTGTGACCCCGCAAATTTAAATTCACTTCCCCGTACCCGCGGGTAACGCGTACGGCCCCGTGAAAGCCTTTTACAATTAAGTTAATATCTCGGGAACCACGGAGTCTAGGAGGTTGGAATTTTAGGGTAATGACTCTCTGCCCACGCTCAACCTTACCATTCAAATTCATCGTCCACACGCTCTCAGGTACTACCTACGGCCTCGTGAAAATTTTGGCGGATAAACTACTAACTTGGGAATCACGGAAAGATATTGATCCTTCAAGGTTTCGAATTCAGCTTTCATGCGCTGGTGCGTGAAATTTTTTAACTGTTTACAATGTTTGAACTATTTTTGCATAGACTAAAGTACAAAGCAGCAAAAATCATTAATAGGCAATCGTTCAGTGGGCTGAACTGCACAAAACGCATCGCACCGGCTAGTCTGGCGCGCGTTGCTATTTATTTTTATTAAAATAATGAGGTACATTAGTAGGAAGGCATATAAAAAACGGATGAAAAGAGATGAACAGAGAGGAAGGTAAGATTGATGAGAATTACAACATTTGTAAATTAATAAAATTATTTTTTAATGCTAAGAAATGTTTCGGTCCATTAAGTCGTATAACTGCACTTGATTTAGTATCACACGATGTTGCTTGATTTTAATTCGTGTGACATATTCAGTGCACAAAGTATACGCGCTTAGACCGGTAAGGGCCGCGGCTTTAGCAGTGGTCTGGGCCGATGGTTGTTTTTTGGTCTAACAGCATTCACAACAGAAAATGAATAATGTTGTTATGTTCGAGTTCAGTGCTGTTTCATTAAAAATTCCTGAATTTTTAGGTATTTTGGCATAGTTCGGCTCACATCATGGGCGAAGCAATGGAGCGTTACTGTGGAGGACATCTCTGTTATGGGCCACCAATCTCGGAAGGCTTTTACTATGATATGTGGAAGGAGGTCTGTAACTGAAATATTTTCATGTAAAAAAAAAATCGTGCTATGAAGTTAAAGATGGCAGAAGAGATGATTTTTTAGGGTGATGCGATCACTCCGGATGATTTCCCGAAACTCGAGCAAATTATCAAATGTGCTGTTAAGGTAAGTTACTGTTAAAAGTGAGATAAGATTATCAGCTACAGATGAGCTAAATCATCACTTTAGGTGGAGATAAAGGAATAAGTTTGAGCTGCTGGAGTGAGGAATAAGTTTTTGCGTTTTTTTTTTTTTCCATTCGGAGTTATCAGTAAAAGGTCAGTGATTTATTTTGCACTGTATCATATCTACAGAATGAGTTAACTGAGGAAAAGTTGGAAAAAAAGGCATCATTTTTTCCCTAAATTGAGGAAAAGTTGGGAAAAAAGGCGTGATTTTTCCCCTACGTCAACATTTGGAGCAGTTTTTGAGCAGCTCCTCTAAATTTTTTAGGAAAGATAAGTGAGCAGATCCCCAGACCAGTTCCCCTATGTTTTCAAGTTTGTTTTGGTCTACCACTGTTATCTTGTTTGTAAAAAAAATTGCGATTTTTTATTGATAAAAAGTATCGGGAAAGCATGAATGATGTTAAACTTGGCTAGGATGCAGGAATGTGTGGTTTTTTTTTTTTTGAAATCCATCAGTCACTACTGACGTGTGGTTTTTCTAAAATCAATTTGTCAAAATCTCGGTCTCTAATGGAATGGCTGGGGCCTGATGAAGCGTAGCGGAGTTTATGATATAGCCTTGATGGGGCCGTGGAAAATTAAAAAAAAAAAGCGAAATATTGTCTATTAAGTCATACCGATGCTCATTCTGTTGTACCTACGTTTTCTGGGCAGTTAGCTTAATTATAGACAGAATTTTTACCCATTTCATTGCTTTGTTTATGATTCTTTCCATATATTTCTTGTCCGTTTTTACAGGATAAGCAGCCATTTGAGCGGTTGGTTGTATCGAAAGAAGATCTGTTGGAAATGTTCAAATACAATAAGTTTAAGGTAATTTTACAACAAATTATCATTTTTACCTGTTTAGCTTTCGTTCCATTATTGTGTTTTTTCGCCATGGCTATTACTAAAACTCGGCTCGGGTCGGCTGGTGTCATACACGGTTTGCGAATGATTTTTCCGAGTCAGCTTGCCCCGCAGTTACGAGTGCGTCGCTGTTGCGAATGATGTGGCGGTGGAGGAGGTGTGTACGGGATTGGGAGCGCGGGGAGTGAAGGTAGGAGAGGAGCAATCTCCCTCTACCCGACGCATCTGGCAAAGTGCCAAGCGGCATCGACATGATTCGCCGCGAAATGGTGTTAGCGAGGAGGTCAGAGTAGTGGCCGAGCCGAATTTTAGTAGTTGCCTTCGCGATTAACGCAGTTAATTACTTCTCCGCTCTTTACTGGTTCGGATTGGTAGCTCTTCTTGATGTTGTTGCAGTTGATAGCTTTTCCAGTGTTCTCTGCTTCGAGAATTCGTTCACCGGATTAGCAGTTTTTCCAGATTTTTTTTGGTGTTGTTTAAATATATAATTCTTTGTCGGCTTTGTTCTAACCTCTCGTCCTCAGTATATAAATAACCGAGCTCTTTTTTTGATTATGTGTTTGCTGCATCTCATAGGGATCGTTTCATGGCTCGTTGGATCGTTGAAAAAATTTTTTCAATTTTCTCATGTTCTGTTTGGATGCTGCAACAAGGCAAAAGCGCAAGAAATTTAACATTTTTCATAGAAAGTGTATTTTTTTTAGGTTCGCATCATTCAAGAGAAGGTAACCACTCCGACCACCACTGTTTATCGCTGTGGCCCACTGATTGATCTATGCAGAGGTCCGCATGTGCGACATACTGGCAAAGTCAAGGTATGCTTTTCAAGTTTTTGGAGCTTATGCGTGTATTATTTGCTACAACAGACCCAGCGCGATTTGTTTTTTTTTTTTTTTTTTTTTTTTTTTTTTTT